TAATGTGTACACCATAATGAAAATGAATAAAAGTATTCCACGTAATAGTTTACATAATGCTTAATACAATATTTCATACATCTAGTTCATACAACGATTGATATGATGAATGATGATTTAATTAAAACGGTGTTTCATTTGTGTTTAACAAGTGAATCGAATTCAGAAAAGTAAAGGAGTTCTATCTCTAACAGAACATCTCGCATTAAACATATTAGTAGTTGTGTCCTAATACTTATGGTCGACAGTGTATCGCGGCAGAGTCTCGAGGGAGGCGGGGGAGGTCGAGAACACGGAGAGAGAGCTCGGGTTCGCGACACAATAAACCATTCCACGGGAAGGCAAAACACAAGCTCCAGCGCCGCTATAACCGAAGCCCAGCGTGCTCCGGTTCATTATGCGGCGCGACGTGGCAAAGTGCCAGGGCCTTTGATGAAGAGGGTGGCCACGTCCTACCAGATTCTCGCTACCGTTCCGTGCACCCTTTCCGCCCTTTCGTCGTAACATCGGGTTGCTGTCCACCCCCCGACGCACATCTTTGACTCCGCTAACCGGCTGCTGGCTCCCGGACTCGGACAAAGAACGGAAACCCGCGAGGGGTATACATCTTCTGATGTATGTTTCTCCCCCTCTTTCTCTTCCGCGTTTTCCGGACACGCTGAAAGCCAGCGTTCTTTACTTCCTTGAGGGTTCCTTTTTTGCTCTTTTCTCCGTATGCATTCCTATCCTGAATTTCAGCGCGAGAAGTCTCAAGGGAACAATAAATGATTTAAGTAACAAAGATGAGGAAAAATACCCTAACGGGATTGGAGTTGTATCGATGTTTGCAAAATGTGTTGATAATAATCTTGAAAGGAAAGTCTGTGATACTTCAATACAGAACTAACATAATACATATGTACATACATGTATAATCTCAATAGTAGTTATTGTCATTACAAGTGTAAAACTTTACAACACTGAAATCTTTTTATTCTTTTGATTTTTTAAAAATATTCCATATAAATATACAAAATTCGTAACAGAAAGCAATTTATTGTTTTCACTGCATGTTTTTTACATTACACAACATACGTTACATACACATTACACATATACAATTACATACATGTATTGTAGATGTTTAGTATCACGTAGATGATATTAGAATTTTAAGTTACTTGACTTGATGCGGTAATTAATTATTGCAATACGGAATTGTATATTGTATTAATCTTTATCATACGTATGTACTATAAATAATAATTGACAAATGTACGTATGCTATAATTGATAAATGTCGAGTGTTAATTGCTTTAGTGAACGATCGACAATTTTAATATTCATGTAAACGTGCCAATAACTGAGAAGGTCTCGAGAGGACGGCTGAAATTAGCTATTACTATAAAAAGCGAAAATCGTAGGTAACTATAGATAATTAGAAATTCAATTGTCGTTATTTCTATGTATGATAAAAATAGACCATTGAGTTATATAAAATATCTGGAGTGTGCGCGGCTGTCAAAAGTCGTAAGATAGAAGAGTAGCGATGATGCTGCAAGAAGCGAGAAGCTATGGGGGATCTCTGTCCTTCTTTTTATATTCTCTCTCTCTATTTGTATTATCTTGTAGTAAATTTAACTATGGTGGGGATAGAAGTTCAGTATTCTATCGAATCACTTGAATTTATAACATTGTCAATCACTCGACATATACGCGTTCGAGTTCAGGTTCAGAAAACATGCATTATACACCTAAAAAGAGAAAGAGATTCCTTCACGGTTGCTCTTCGTCGGCGAACGTACCCCCCCCCCCCATTCATTCACACTCCAGATGTTTTATATAGCTCAATGAAGTAGACTGACTAAATGATATACGTACATACAAAAATTTTAAATCCTCGTTATCGACGAGGAAATCCTTTTTTACTGATAATTAACTTGTGCCTGATAAAGTATTATTGGCAAAAATTCTTATTTAATATTACAAAATGAATGTGTGACGTATGAACGTAGATGCGAAGGTCAACTAATTAACTTATCATTGTTTAATAATACATTTGCCATTGAGATATGTACATTGCTTATGAAGATATCAGTAAATGCTGTAATATTAAGTAATGCTTTTATCTTGTTATTTTACAATTTTAAATTATAATATGAAGCAAAAATCGAGCAGCCTCGTACGCGAATTTATCTGTACATGTATGAAATGATATCAGTACATGTGTATACACACATACACATACATAGATAGATACTACATAGAGAATTGAGGTTACGAGAATCGGACGTATCAACGCGCTACTTGAACAAACGATCGAACTCGAAGATAGCGTTAAGCCGAGCTTTATTTCCCGATTATCGTGCGCATTGGTTGCAGTCAAAATTGCCCTTATCGTTGAGACCGCGTTCGGTATAGGCAAGCGAATCCGTGTGTATTACATTGCGCGTCGCTGTTGAATTTATACGGCTACTAAACACCGTTACCCTTGTTCAATCGAAATTTCTAGTGGATGAATTACACTAATACAGGTTCTCGGCGATTAAGCGCGGAAAATGAATCAACACGAACTCGTACACTCCTGTCCACGATTTTATCAGGACAAAATTATTGTTATCCACACTGCAGTCTGTTTTTGATGCACAAGATTTTAGATTACTAATTAGATATTGAGACTATTATTTATACATCATCAAATTGAACAATTCGTTTCAATAAAATTAATACATCAGACTACAGGTTCAAATAATAGTAGCTTAGCTGGCTAAAATAATTAGTTGATTATTTTGTTAAAATGTGCTTCATTTCAACATTATAAACGACAAAATTTGAAGATTGAAAATATTCTTGAATTTTAGCAATACAAAGTTTATCAATAAATTCACTCTAATAAAAACAAATGACTCATTCTGTATATTAGTAATTCAATTCCGTTTAGGTTCGCTCCATTATGCTGTTCATTAATTTATTTAACAACACAAAAGTAATAAATAAAAACACTTCATTGAATACAGCCACGTTGGATATTTGAAGCAAAGTTTAAAGGCATGTGTCGCCGGGGGGAAGATACTTTCGGTAGAATTCGTAACATTTTTAAAAAGAGAATTTATTAAAGCACTGCTGAGCTTCTCTGAGGTTAGCAAAACGCAAAGTTTCGGTGAAGGGTTTGCGCAGAGTTTTTAAAAAAGAATTTCGCCGTTGGAACATGCTAAAAGAATCCGTCATATTTTTCAACGCTCAAAATGTTCCCAGTTTGTAGCATAAAAAATGGTTTTGACTTTTAATCACGTTACGTTACAGTCAATTGTACATTACAATTACATTGGATATATGTATATTATATGCAATTTTAATAAAATTAAACAGTTTTTAAATAATAGTTTAAAATATTGTATACAAAATAAATATATAAGAGCAGTTATATGTTCACACAAACTAGTAAAGCCTATAGAGGATTCCAGGGACGATGAAGAATAGTATGCTGTAAATGTATGGGAGCATGAATGGAGGAATGAATGAATAAGTATAAGATTAGAAAAATATAAGCCAAGGCCGGGTCTCAGGTCGATAAGGCTAGAATAAAAATAAATATATTCACACAAATTAATTTATACTGTGTCTGTCTATCTACTACATGTATGTGTAACTTTAAATAGTTAACAAAAAGAAAAATGCAAAAGACGATGTGCGAAGACAGTAGTGAAGATAAGAATGCAAACTCGCAATTTATTTTCGTTAGGTTTTTCCACAAGCGTACCGCGACGCAAATTTGTGAGAAAAAAAGAATGAAGACTGCTTCAGTATCTCTATAGTTCGGAAAACGTTAACGATGGCCAATCAACGTGATCCTATTTACCGAACTTCTTAGCAGCGCGGTGTTGACCCAAAACACGATGCGAAAGGAGGCACGAAACTTTTTCATTGCGTTAGCCGCGAAAAAGAGCCGAATTAGTTCCGACAATGAGCAAAGCGAAGGAGAAGAAGCAGCCAACATTTCTTAATCATATTTCAATTAAGCAGCCGCCCGAAGTTGGGCGCCGACCGCGTTAGCACCGCCAAAACGCCATTAATACCAGCAAGGAAGTCATAACAAACTGTCAGTTAGTCAAATAAATGCCAGGAGGAAGCATTTTATTGAATGCGAACTGGGTGTTTCTTTTTCAGTTTATGAAAGCAAACAAGTCTTTACACAATTCTATCACTACATTGCGAATTTTATGCATTTATAAAAGCTTTAGATTTAGTAACCGCCATGTAATATATGACATTGTATTTTAAAGTAAATAAAATCGTGCGAATGTGAATAATGAATAAATTACAATTATTTATTACTGAATGACTTCTATACCATACTTTTTAATTTTATTAAACGTAACTTTAGACTTTGTCACTTTGACTATTAAACTAATAGAAAACATATAGTTACAATAACCAAGCATAGTATTACACAGGGTGAACCACGAATCGTGATCAGGAGAGATTACTCTATTAGCAATCCGATCGAAAATGTTTTTATCAGGTATTTTTCTACCTTAAGAATAAGCAACGACTGTGAATACCGGTCTATATGTCCTTAGACTTGGAAATAAAATGCACTTTTTATATATTTTCTATACAGTATAGTATATTATGCGTATATTATGTACTCAATAAACTTCCAAACATACTTTTCTCGAGAACAAAACGTCATACGAAAAAATGTTGTTCTACATTTTCGAGTCAGATTTCCATGTAGAATCAACTACTGCCTGCTTGTACCACCCGTTACGGGACACCCTATGCAACTTTTTATAAATATACAGAGTCCACAATCTTTATTTTTCTTTATTTTTATAAAATATATAACGCTCATAAATATACGAGGGACGATATGGACTAATGGAAGTTTACCCACTTAAAGCAAAGGAAATTTTCTAGTACAAAGTGTTGATAAAACCTCTGTGATAAACAACTTGAGTTGCGATTAAGAAAACAAATAGTTCACGATGTTATCATGATAATACAAGTGAAATATAAATGCACGATACCGGTTTGTCAGTTCAACAGTTCGACAGTTCGTTAGGACATACTATGGTCGCCACACTATCTTTGGGATCCTCAGCACTCTTCCTGCTCGCCATGTAAGTAACACTTCATCGGAACATTTGTTGCATTGACAATCATTCCTAGAAGATTTTTATCCAAATTTAATGCATTAAATGTATTGAAAAAATTAATAGATCTATTCAGATAATGGCAATGGTATGGCAAGAATAAACATTACGTTAATATGTAAAAAATCTCTGATGTCAAGAATATTACTATGTATTAATGCATATCAAACAAACTACACACCTAAGTGTGCAATACGTATTATAAAATATACAAGGCAATAAAATTTTTTTGTTTTGTGTTAATTTCTCAAATGTGATTTGATTCCACATTATTGCACCTTCTTGCAGGGGCATACTTTGTGATCAAATTTAAGACTCAAAAGCTTGATAAATGTATAATGTACAGGAAGCTTTCACTTATGATACAAATTACTTAACTTCGACGATTTCCACTCATCAGCCATTTCGATCGTCAACTTTAGTTAATTTCTTTCAGTTCGGCGAGTAGCGAATCCGTGGTGGTCGATGAGAAATATTTAAAGTTCCCACCGAACTTTCTACTGGGCACAGCATCGGCGTCATACCAAATAGAGGGAGCATGGAACGTGAGTGGTACGTAGTTCGAATTCAAATTTTTTATTGTGAAAATCAGTGAGTCTTCTCTAATATTATCTTAATACTTGAAAAGATAAAGGAGAAAGTACTTGGGACCATTTCACTCATCTTAAGGGTAATCGTATTTTCAATGATACAAATGGAGATGTTGCAGCTGACTTTTATCACAAATACAAAGAAGATATTGCCATACTTAAAAACATTGGGGTACATATTGTTTTTAATCGTTTTTAGTTTTGTATAATCTCAAATTGACATTTAACTTTCACAAGTAGTTTAACAAATTTCTATAAGGTTAATTTATTTTAATTGATATCAATCTTAATTTCATTCTAATAGTTCAAATCGTACCGATTCTCTGTGAGCTGGCCGCGAATTCTCCCGACCGGATTCGCGAATCAAGTCAGTAAAGATGGTGTCCAATATTACCATAACTTAATCGATGAACTATTGAAGAATGGTATTGAACCTTTGATGACTCTTTATCATTGGGACCACCCGCAAATCATGGAAGAGGCTGGTGGTTGGATGAACGAAGAAATGGTTGACTGGTTTGCTGACTACGCGAGAGTCATTTACCGCGAGTTCGGCTCGAAGGTGAAGAAGTTCATCCCGATAAACGAGCCTATATCGTTTTGCAAAAACGGTTACGCTGATGGCAAGGACGCACCTGGCAAGACTCTGCCTGGCATTGGCGACTACTTGTGCATGCATAATGTGATCAAGGCTCATGCAAGAGCGTACAGAATCTACGAGACCGAGTTCAAACAGACTCAGAAGGGCCAAGTTGGTTTTTTGATCAACTTCTGGGCCTACATGCCCAAAACGCCTGCGGACCAAAACGCTGCAGACCTTGCGTTTGAATTCAATGTTGGATGGAGTATGCATCCGATTTACTCCAAGGAGGGTGATTATCCAGCTGTGATGAAGAGTATGATAGCTAAGAAGAGTAAGGAACAAGGATATCTCAAGTCCCGTTTGCCTACATTTACTCCTGATGAGATTAAATACATAAGGTATTATTCATAAGTGATTTTTCAAATGAGGAAATATCTTAGAACGTTTTTAAACGAGTTTGTGTGTCTGCTCTGTGTGGAATATCACGATTATTATTGCAGAGGAACCTCGGATTTCTTGGCTGTAAATCACTATTCCGCGAGACTGGTTACACTTGGTAATACAGGAAAAATGCCGTCCCGTGAAAACGATATGGGAGTGGTAGAGATTATTGACAAGTCCTGGAAAGGATCAGCTGTCGACTGGTTGTTCGTATGTATTGCTATTTAGTGATTAGTGTGTTTGAACGTATATTGATTATTTCTAATTATTTTATTATTATATTTATGGATAGTTAACTGTATGACGTAATGGATTGCTATTTTACTTGCTTTTCTTTAGGTTGTGCCTGAAGGATTCCGATACGTTCTACGTCAACTTGCACAATATTACGGTAACCCACCGATGTACATAACTGAAAACGGCTATGCCGATTACGGATCGCTCAACGACGACGATAGAATTGAATACTTCCGCGAATACTTGAAGCAAATGCACCTCGCTATTTACGAAGATGGCGTCAACGTACGAGGATACATTTTGTGGTCTCTGACGGACACCTTCGAATGGCTTTTCGGATACAAGTAAATAATTAATATAAAGATTAAAATATATTAAACTGTACAATGTGCAAAATACCTTTTATTAACTAAACTACTGATTTTATGCCTTCATAGAAAGATTGAATGTGCAGGAAATACAAAAAAGTGCATATGATGTACGAAAAAGTATACCGTAATTCAAAAACTGACTGCATAACACATATACCTCGATTACAATGCCTAAAAGATGAAATTCATTTTTATTTAGATAACATTCTTTACATTAGTACTATTAAAGTTTTCTTTTGCATGCAAATCTGCAGTCTAGTAATAAGTATTGAATTACTATGAATCCATTTTTGTGGTTTAATTTTCAGTGCCCGCTTTGGTATCGTGTCCGTTGACTTCAACGACCCAGAGAGACCCCGAACCTTGAGGAAGTCTGCTTCCTGGTGGAAGAAGGTTATTGCCGATGGTAAAATTGATCAGTAATGAGGAATATCATGGACACCATAAATAACTAATTAAATATTGCCGATTGTATGATAAATCAATGTCCATTTTTTATGCACAAATGTTCCACTTTGTTTTTGATGAATGCATTAAAAATTAAAATAATTAATTATCCATTTATTTGCTGTTATATTATGTTCCTTGTGTTTTGTGTGATGCAATTTTCCTCTTAAAGAAAATGTCAAGTTTCATTGTCTCGTCGCAGGATCCTTTTTTTCAAATCATTGAACACGACTTGCTATTCTACGATAGAGAAGTTCATTCGACGTGCATTGATCTGTACAACATTTTAACTATTCCGCATTGGGAGATCGAATTTGTAGAAGGGCGAGGTAAGGTGTCAGCTACGAAGGGATTAAATACAGATAAAAGACTCCAAGTCCCAGTTGTAAATGCTCCAGCATCACCCACTTCATTTATACAGTCCTCTGGAAGAGAAAAGTAGAAGAGAAAGCACGAAGCGCTTTGTCCCTGTCATGTTAAGTGATAAGTAGTTGGTTGTGTTTAGAGTTAGTAGAGTTAAGTTCGCAGTATGGCAGTAATTAAGCTAGCGAGAGCGGATTAAGAAATGTTTGGAGACTATTAATAATGACTTCGATGTATATAAGCTTAAATGATCTTCAACATTTATTATTCCTGATTCCATATCCAGCACATGAGAAACTTTACAGTCTGAATAAATCTCTTGTAATCATTTGTATATCTGATTCCTTTTATAAATCCCTCAAATAATATAGTAGAGATGTTCCTGGAATATTTGTGCCAATTTTCACGAGTTTGATATGAACAAATTGTTCTAAACAGTTATTGACTTTTATGTGAGAAGAAGAACCACAGTTGTTTTTCTTTAATAAGTTTGTGTTTTACAATTTGAACAAGGAATAAATTACTAAGTCAACTAATTGATTTGTTTTTACAAACTGATAGGATGATACTCAGTTCATTGGATTCTACTTTTTGCTAAAATTGATATCTGAAGGGAAAAGTTTACAATAGATGCAGTTGATTTGCTTCACAATTTTTTCGTAACTTTTTTTGAGCTTTACGTATATAAAGAATTCGGTTTGAAAACACACACTGCGTTAGTTTATCAATATTGTTTCATCGGACGGTCCACCAAATATTTCTGTATGGTCGAAAGTTCGGTGACCGTTCGTCGAGTGAACTGATTACAATACGAACGCTTGATTTATAAATTCCGCTATGCTTACAATCAGATTTCCATGTAGAATCAACTACTGCCCACTTATACCACCAGTTACGGGACACCCTGTGCAATTCTTTATAAATACACAGTCCACTATCTCTGTTTTTCTTTATTTTTATACAATATATAACGCTCATAAATACAGGGTGTCCCTCACGGTGCGCATAATTTTTCCCTCACGGCTCGCTTCCCCTCTTTTTCGCCCATATTTCGATCCCCCCTACTATTCCCCTCATGCGTCTTCGCTGACCATGCCTAGCATACCCCCATCAAGTACCAGTCCCCACCATGGTCGCGTCGTCCCCGCTTTCCGGCCGAGGGAAAAATTATGCGTACCCAGGGTACGATATGAATTAATGGAAGTTTACCCACTTAAAGCAAAGGAAATTTTTTGGTACGAAGAGTTGATAAAACCTGTACGATAAACAACTTGATTTGCGATTGAGAAAACATAAATAGTTCACGATGTTATCATGGTGTTATTATGACAATTCAAGTGAAATATAAATGCACGATACCGGTTTGACATCTCATTCACAGTTCGTTAGGAGATATGGTCGCCACGCTATCTTTGGGATCCTCTGCACTTTTCCTGCTCGCGATGTAAGTAACACTTCATCGGAACATTTGTTGCATTGACAATCATTCGTAGAAGATTTTTATCCAAATTTAATGCATTAAATGTAATTAAAAGATCTATAATATAATATAGGTATGGCGAGAATAAACATTACGTGAATATATAAAAAATCTCTGATGTCAAGAATACTACTGTGTATTGATGCATATCAAACAAACTACACACCTAAGTGAGCAATACGCATTGTAAAATATACAAGGCAATAAAATTTGTTGTTTTATGTTAATTTTTTTAATGTGATTTGATTCCACATTATTGCAACTTTTTGCAAATTTGGCGCATACTCTCTGAACAAATTGAAGCCTCAAAAGCTTGATAAATGTATAATGTACGAAGAAGCTTTCACTTATGATACAAATTACTTAACGTCGGCGATTTCCCCTCATCAGCCACTCGATAGATCGTCAACTTCAGTCAACTTCTTTCAGTTCGGCGAGTAGCGAATCCGTGGTGGTCGATGAGAAATATCTAAAGTTCCCACCGAACTTTCTCCTAGGCACAGCATCGGCGTCATACCAAATAGAGGGAGCATGGAACGTGAGTGGTACGTAGTTCGAATTCAAATTTTTTATTGTGAAAATCAGTGAGTCTTCTCTAATATTATCTTAATACTTGAAAAGATAAAGGAGAAAGTACTTGGGACCATTTCACTCATCTTAAGGGTAATCGTATTTTCAATGATACAAATGGAGATGTTGCAGCTGACTTTTATCACAAATACAAAGAAGATATTGCCATACTTAAAAACATTGGGGTACATATTGTTTTTAATCGTTTTTAGTTTTGTATAATCTCAAATTGACATTTAACTTTCACAAGTAGTTTAACAAATTTCTATAAGGTTAATTTATTTTAATTGATATCAATCTTAATTTCATTCTAATAGTTCAAATCGTACCGATTCTCTGTGAGCTGGCCGCGAATTCTCCCGACCGGATTCGCGAATCAAGTCAGTAAAGATGGTGTCCAATATTACCATAACTTAATCGATGAACTATTGAAGAATGGTATTGAACCTTTGATGACTCTTTATCATTGGGACCACCCGCAAATCATGGAAGAGGCTGGTGGTTGGATGAACGAAGAAATGGTTGACTGGTTTGCTGACTACGCGAGAGTCATTTACCGCGAGTTCGGCTCGAAGGTGAAGAAGTTCATCCCGATAAACGAGCCTCTATCGTTTTGCAAAAATGGTTACTCTCACGGCAAGGAGGCACCTGGCAAGACTCTGCATGGTATTGCCGAGTATTTGTGTATACATAATGTGGTCAAGGCTCATGCAAGAGCGTACAGAATCTACGAGGCCGAGTTTAAACAGACTCAGAAGGGCCAAGTTGGTTTTCTGATCAACTACTGGGGCTACATGCCTAAAACGCCTGCGGACCAAACCGCTGCGGACATTTGGTTTGAATTCAATGTTGGGTGGACTATGCATCCGATTTACTCCAAGGAGGGTGATTATCCGGCTGTGATGAAGAGTATGATAGCTAAGAAGAGCAAGGAACAAGGATATCTCAGGTCCCGTTTGCCTACATTTACTCCTGATGAGATAGAATACATAAGGTATTGTTCATAAGAGATTTTTCAAATGAGGAAATATCTTAGAACGTTTTTAAACGAGTTGGTGTGTCTATTCTTTATGAAATATCACGATTATTATTGCAGAGGAACCTCGGATTTCTTGGCTGTAAATCACTATTCCTCGGGATTGGTTACACTTGGTAATACAGGAGAAGTGCCGTCCCATGAAAACGATATGGGAGTGATAGAGATGATTGACAAGTCCTGGAAAGCATCAGCTGTCGACTGGTTGTTCGTATGTATTGCTATTTAGTGATTAGTATTTGGACGTATATTAATTATTTATAATTATTTTATTATTATATTTATAGATAGTTAACTGTATGATATAATGGATTGTTATTTTACCTGTTTTTACTGTAGGTTGTGCCTGAAGGATTCCGATACATTCTACGTCAACTTGCACAACATTATGGTAACCCACCGATGTATATAACTGAAAACGGCTATGCCGATTACGGATCGGTCAACGACGACGATAGAATTGAATACTTCCGCGAATACTTGAAGCAGATGCACCTCGCTATTTACGAAGATGGCGTCAACGTACGAGGATATATTTTGTGGACTCTGACGGACACCTTCGAATGGACTTACGGATACAAGTAAATAATCAATACAATGATTAAAATATATTAAAATGTACAATGATCAAAATACGTTTTATTGACTAAACTGTTGATTTTATGCCTTGATAGAAAAATTGAATATGCAGGTAATATAAAAAATGCATGTGATGTATATAAAACTATGCCGTAATTCAAAAACTGACTGCATAACACATATACCTCGATTACAATCCTAAAGATGAAACTAAAAGATGAAACTCACTTTTATTTAGATTACAGTCTTTACATTGATACTACTAAAGTTCTCTTGTGCATACAAACCTGTAGTCTAGTAATAAGTATTGAATTAGTATGAAATCATTTTTGTGGTTTAATTTCCAGTGCCCGCTTTGGTATCGTGTCCGTTGACTTCAACGATCCAGAGAGACCCCGAACCTTGAGGAAGTCTGCTTCCTGGTGGAAAAAGGTTATTGCTGATGGTAAAATTGATCAGTAATGAGGAATATCATGGACACCATAAATAACTAATTAAATATTGCCGATTGTAAGATAAATCACAGTCCATTTTTTATGCACATATGTGCACTTTTGTTTTTGGTGAATGCATTAGAAAATAAAATAATTAATTATCCATTTATTTGCTATTGTATTATGTTCCTTGTGTTTTGTATGATGCAATTTTCCTCTTAAAGAAGATGCCAAGTCCATCAAGATAGTCATTTCATTGTCCCGTCGCAGGATCCTTTTTTCAAATCATTGAACACGACTTGCTATTCTGCGATAGAGAAGTTCATTCGACGTGCATTGATCTGTACAACATTTTAACTATTCCATATTGGGAGATCGAATTGGTAGAAGGGCGAGATAAGGCGTCAGCTACGAAGGGATTAAATACAGATAAAAGACTCCAAGTCCCAGTTGTAAATGCTCTAGCATCACCCACTTCATTTATACAGTCCTCTGGAAGAGAAAAGTAAAAGAGATAGCACGAAGCGCTTTGTCCCAGTAAATCTCTTGTAATCATTTGTGTATCTGATTTCTTTTATAAATTCCTCAAATAATATAGTAGAGATGTTCCTGGAATATTTGTGGCAATTTTCACGAGTTTGATATGAACAAATTGTTCTAAACAGTTATTGATTTTTATATGAGAAGAAAAACCACAGTTGTTTTTCTTTAATAAGTTTGTGTTTTACAATTTGAACAAGGAATAAATTACTAAGTCAACTAATTGATTTGTTTTTACAAACTGATAGGATGATACTCAGTTCATTGGATTCTACTTTTTGCTAAAATTGATATCTGAAGGGAAAAGTTTACAATAGATGCAGTTGATTTGCTTCACAATTTTTTCGTAACTTTTTTTGAGCTTTACGTATATAAAGAATTCGGTTTGAAAACACACACTGCGTTAGTTTATCAATATTGTTTCATCGGACGGTCCACCAAATATTTCTGTATGGTCGAAAGTTCGGTGACCGTTCGTCGAGTGAACTGATTACAATACGAACGCTTGATTTATAAATTCCGCTATGCTTACAATCAGATTTCCATGTAGAATCAACTACTGCCCACTTATACCACCAGTTACGGGACACCCTGTGCAATTCTTTATAAATACACAGTCCACTATCTCTGTTTTTCTTTATTTTTATACAATATATAACGCTCATAAATACAGGGTGTCCCAAAACTAGTGTAAGGAATTTTAATGGGAGGTTCCTGACATGATTCTAAACAACATTTTCCTTTGCGAAAAAGTTGTCCGAGGCGTGGCGAGCCGTTTTACTGCCTTCAACCAGTCAAAGGTACTTTTTATTATCGAACACGTGTTTTTAAGGGAAATCGAAAATAATAAGCTGGCGAAACTTCGTCCCTAAGAATTATGACATGGCTTTTACCTGCGTACAATGTGTCTACGGCTTTGCGGGCTGCAAGTCGCGGAGGTACGGAGTGTTTAACACGTGGGGAATGTTGTAAATATGACAAGGAATTGAAGGTCGGGTTTCTATCAGGGATGCTACAAACATTTTCACTAACGAATTTGGCCATCGAGTGGGGAAAATTCTCCCAAAGGAAAGTTGTGAGAGGATTCAGTAGGTTTCGAGTCGTGCACCTCAACTCAATGACGGAGCCCGAAAAATCCAATAGAGTATTAAGAAATGATCCGAGTATTCGCCTAACGCAAAGATGATTATCCGCCGATTCCGATGAAAAGAGCGTCATTCCGATCGAGTCGTGCCTTTCGTGCATCGTGTAATTCACGGGCCACGCGGATAGTGAAGTTCATTTTGTGAATAAAATACAATCGGCTCCTTTTGGAGACGTTTAATGTTAGAGTGCAAAAATGACAGTGTAAGTGTTTGAAAATTTTTAAGTGAAAAGTGACAGTGGTTTTGTTAAGTTGAGTTTGTGTATAAAAATCAATCGGCTGCTTCAAAGACGTGTATTGATAGGACGTAGGAGCAACAATTTTAGTGTGTTAACATTTTTGAGAGTGACAATGATCGTGCGGTGAATTGCGGGGTTCCTTCCCTGGGCAGAGTATCAGTTGTGGCCTACCTGCGAGCGGCAAAGACGCTGACCCATTGACCACGGCCCATCGTTAGTAGGTGCACTTGCGAATGAATGGGTAAGTCTAAATCTCTACAGTTTTTACATTTTCTTTTAAATTCAATATTGCCTGCAACTTGTTAATTCCTCGTTTATGCTATCATCGTCCATCAATTATCAACAATCTATCATTTCTCCATCCATTGCACGTGAATAACGATTAAGAATATTAATTGTTATTCATAATAATGCACGAACAACAATTTCCTTGCATTGTTATTCATGTAGTTTGTTAAATGCTTCGTACTGAGCGTTTGTTCAAAAGCGTGAACGGCCGGGCGGCCGGATCGGAGCCAACGCTCCCGAGTCGGAGCCCGCGTCAATCGAGCGCTCTTATTGGTCGAGGTTATTTGTTAATAACTCCTCAACCACGCATCGGACTACTTTTTCGCAAAGGAAAATGTTGTTTAAAATCATGTCAGGAACCTCCTATTAAAATTCCTTACACTAGTTTTGGGACACCCTGTATATGAGGTACGATATGAATTAATGGATGTTTACCCACTTAAAGCAAAGGAAATTTTTTAGTACGAAGTGTTGATAAAACCTCTGCGATAAACAACTTGAGTTGCGATTGAGAAAACAAATAGTTCACGATGTTATCATGATAATACAAGTGAAATATAAATGCACGATACCGGTTTGTCAGTTTAACAGTTCGACAGTTCGTTAGGAGATACTATGGTCGCCACGCTATCTTTGGGATCCTCAGCACTCTTCCTGCTCGCCATGTAAGTAACACTTCATCGGAACATTTGTTGCATTGACAATCATTCGTAGAAGATTTTTATCCAAATTTAATGCATTAAATATACTGCAAAAATTAATAGATCAACTCAGATAATAAAGTATAGCAAGAAACATTACATAAATATATAAAGAATCTCTGATGTCAAGAATATTATTGTGTATTACTATACAGGGTATTCCACCTAACTTGACCACCTCAAATATATCGTTTATCTTTTGTGATAAAAAAGATGTCAAGGGGAGAGAATATTCTGTTGGAAGGCGCCAATACGGTGATGGGCCGAATTTTTTTCTCGAGGTCATTTTTTTCGAGATATTAAGGTCATCGTATTTTTTTTAAATGGGACTGCATATTTTCGCTATAACAATCTTATAGCTTATAAAAAAACGAATCCATCTAGGTGCAATATGTTGACCTTCACGTGACCTTTAACGAGAAAATTATGTTTATAAGGAGAAAAGGTAAAGACGAGATTTGTATTATTCAGTGCACAATATTTATTTCAAGAGATTTTCAAAATGTGTACCATTAACTTCAATACACTTTTGGAAACGGCAAATGAATGATTTTTTTACATCATTAAGCACTTCTATGCTAATTGATCTACATTCGTGTAAAATTCTTTCTCGCATATTTTCTGGTGTTCTGGGAGGATCATTATAAACTTTATCTTTTAAGTGTCCCCAGAGGAAAAAATCAAGCGGCGTAAGATCCGGTGATCGAGCTGGCCAACAAATCCTTGCACCTCGTCCTATCCAACGATCGGGAAACATTCTGTTTAATGCATTGCGCGCGATAAGAGCATTGTGAGCTGGACAGCCGTCATGCTGGAACCACATCCTTGATCGAGATTCGTTTTTTTATAAGCTATAAGACTGTTATAGCGAAAATATGCAGTCCCATTTAAAAAAAATACGATGACCTTGATATCTCGAGAAAAATGACCTCGAGAAAAAAATTCGGCCCATCACCGTATTGGCGCCTTCCAACAGAATATTCTCTCCCCTTGACATTTTTTCTATCACAAGAAATAAGCGATATATATAAGGTGGTCAAGTTAGGTGGAATACCCTGTATATAAAACAAACTAGACACATAAGTGTGCAATACGTATTATAAAATATACAAGACAATAAAATTTGTTGTTTCATGTTAATCTTTTAAATGTTATTTAATTCCACATTATTGCAACTTTTTGCAGGGGCATACTTTCTGATCAAATTGAAGCCTCAAAAGCTTGATAAATGTATAATGAACAAGGAGCTTTCATTTATGATACAAATTACATAACTTCGACGATTTCCACTCGATAGATTGTCAACTTCAGTCAACTTCTTTCAGTTCGGCGAGTAGCGAATCCGTAGTGGTCGATGAGAAATATCTAAAGTTCCCACCGAACTTTCTCCTGGGCGCAGCATCAGCGGCATACCAAATAGAGGGAGCATGGAACGTGAGTGGTACGTAGTTCGAATTCAAATTTTTTATTGTGAAAACCAGTGATTCTTCTCTAATATTTTCTTAATACTTGAAAAGATAAAGGAGAAAGTGTTTGGGACCATTTCACCCATCTTAAGGGTAATCGAATTTTCAATAATACAAATGGCGATGTTGCAGCTGACTCTTATCATAAATACAAAGATGATGTTGCCTTACTTAAGAACATTGGGGTAAGTAGTGCTTTTAATCGTTTTTAGTTTTGTATTATCTCAAATTGACTTGTAGCTATCACAAGTAGTTTAACAAATTTCTATAAGATTAATTTAATTTAATTGATATCAATCTTAATTTCATTCTGATAGTTCAAGTCGTACCGATTCTCTGTGAGCTGGCCGCGCATTCTCCCGACCGGATTCGCGAATCAAGTCAGTAAAGATGGTGTCCAATATTACCATAACTTAATCGATGAACTATTGAAGAATGATATTGAACCTTTGATGACTCTTTATCATTGGGACCACCCACAAATCATAGAAGATGCTGGTGGTTGGATGAACGGAGAAATGGTTGATTGGTTTGGTGACTACGCAAGAGTCATTTACCGCGAGTTTGGCTCGAAGGTGAAGAAGTTCATCCCGATAAACGAGCCTATATCGTTTTGCAAGAATGGTTACTCTCACGGCAAGGAAGCACCTGGCAAGAGTCTGCATGGTATTGGCGAGTACTTGTGTATGCATAATGTGGTCAAGGCTCATGCAAGAGCGTACAGAATCTACGAGGCCGAGTTCAAACAGACTCAGAAGGGCCAAGTTGGTTTTTTGATCAACTTGTGGGCCTACATGCCTAAAACGCCTGCGGACCAAAACGCTGCGGACATTTCGTTTGAATTCAATGTTGGTTGGACTATGCATCCGATTTACTCCAAGGAGGGTGATTATCCGGCCGTGATGAAGACTATGATAGCTAAGAAGAGCAAAGAACAAGGATATCTCAGGTCCCGTTTGCCTACATTTACTCCTGATGAGATCAAATACATAAGGTATTGTTCATAAGGAATTTTTCAGATGTCGAAATATCTTAGAATGTTTTTAAGCGCGTTGGTGTATCTGTATTGTATGAAACATCACAATTATTATTGCAGAGGAGCCTCGGATTTCTTGGCTGTAAATCACTATACCGCAAGACTGATTACACTTGGTAATACAGGAAAAGTGCCGTCCCATGAAAACGATATGGGTGTGGTAGAAATCATTGACAAATCCTGGAAAACATCGGCTTCCGAGTGGTTGTTGGTATGTATTGTTATTTAGTGATTAGTATTTGAACATATATTAAATATTTATAATCATTATACTATTATATATATAGATAGTTAACTATATGATATAATGGATTGCTATTTTACCTGTTTTTATTGTAGGTTGTGCCTGAAGGATTCCGATACATTCTACGTCAACTTGCACAACATTATGGTAACCCACCGATGTACATAACTGAAAACGGTGTTTCCGATCGCGGATCGCTCAACGACGACGAAAGAATTGAATACTTTCGCGAATACTTGAAGCAAATGCACCTCGCTGTTTACGAAGATGGCGTCAACGTACGAG